ATCTAAAGAAAGAGTAGCTGAACTAGGGAACAAAGTGCACGTCGTAAGCCAGCCATTTGAACGTAAGACATGGGAGGCATGCAGTAAGCCTTGAGGTGATAAGGAGAAAAAGTGTGAGTCAGTAAGTCCGGGTAGAAACCTTGGATGGCCTATTATTGGTATCATGGGGGATGGGAAACTCCCCACATAAGCCAGTTAGAAAAATCTGTCCATTTTGGCCTCTTCAGGAGCTATCAATGGGTGGATGGTAAGTTGAGGAACATGTTTAGCTGCCCATGGCAGCCCTGCAAGTGGTGCACCTGCTGCTCCCTGTGCAAGCGTGATCCACACTTTGTGGGTCTGGTGTCTACATCAGTCCACTACGCTGGTCATTTGGACTGCGGTATAGTACAATGCTGGGTCAGGAAAACCCAGACCACCCTTTAATTTGGGCCTGAGTAACAGATTTCTGCCAATGTGGGGGTGCTTACTGTGCCAGACCAACTTGATGAAGGCTGAGCACACAGAGCAGATGAATGCCCAAGTTATAATAACCAGTAAAGCCTGCAGGAAGTACAACAACCTAGGCATAGCATTCATTTTCAATACATTGCAATGGCCAAACCATGATAAGGCAAGGGAGTCCCATTTCTTTAGGTCGGCAGATAAAGCAGTCAGAGAAGGTTGGAAGTTCAGGGAAAAAGTCTGCATTCCAATTTGCAGGAATTTTAGTCCCAGATATTGTATAGACTGTGTGGCCCATTTAAAAGGAAAATGTGGATGTAGGCTTGCAACAACAGAGGCAGGAAAGGAGATATTTAGTGCCTCTGACGTTTGGATGTTTACCTTAAAATTGGAGAGCAAGCCAGATCATTTCAACTCCAATAATAGGGAGGGTAAAGAAGTAAGGGAATTCATGACATAAAACAGAAGGTCATCAGCAATCTGAATCAAACCCATTCACACAGACAGTAGCTGAAGGATTAGCATATAAAGCAGAAATCCATGACAATATAGGAGTTAGCATGCCCACCTGTCCTAAAGTTTCTTTGAGAAAAGTCCAATCTACTCTATCGAATGCCTTTTCGGCAACAGTAGATAAGAGTAGTAAGGGGGTCCGTATCTTTTCATTGACATTGAGGGTCCAAATGGTATTGTCTCATGCCTTCTGTGTTTGAAGAAATCCCATCTGGTCTAAAAAAATAATGCATGGTAACAGAGAGGTCATTCTCATAGCAATTTAGCCAATATAGCAATTTTGGTGAAAAGTTTCATATCGCAATTCGAGAGTAAGATAGGCCTGTAACTGACGCATAGTAATTGATCTTTACCCAGTTTGGGAATGACTGTTATGCTAGCACGGAACAGGTCCGGTGGGATATCTTTGCTTCTGTAATGACATTAAAGGCCTTTGTTAAATGGGGAGCAAGTATTGTCTGATATAATAGGCTACAGAGAAGCCATCAGGGCCAGGGGTCTTGCCAGGCTGGGTAGCGGCTATGGCAGCAGCAAACTGAAAGAGGTTGGGTTAAAGTATATTGACCCTCTTTGGTAAGCTTGGGGAGGTTTACTTCCTGGATGTATGTAGTCATATCTGACAGCATCATCGAGCTTGAGGAGGGTGATGAGGTTGTACCTAGATTATAAAGTGCAGAGTAAAAGTTTTGAAAGGCTTTAGCTAACTCTGGGGTGGAGTGAAGCTTTGATCCTGATGGAGAGGATAGGGCCAAAATGTAAGATGGAGACTTTTTGGCTCGAGGACATTGGCAAGAAAGCAGCTGCATTTGTCCCTCTAGGAGCTCTTGACTGAGGATCCACTGTGACAGCTATGATCAAGCAGTTTGGTACATGCAGTAGATCCATTTGTGCAAATACAAAAAGATCTGGTAACTCAGAAGGTTGTCATGGGGGAAGGTAAGATTTCCATTTTGCACGATCAAATAAAATGGATGGACCCATTTATAGGTTAGACCTAGTCCACTGAGCCATTCAAGAAAGGGTTTAACTGTCTTGCACATTGACATAGTCTTCAAGGAAACATCAGGCAAAAGATGGACAGCAGCACATCATATTCCAATTCACCTACTTGACAGGCCCATTGCAGAACTCTCCTTGAGGGTATAAGAGTGTAGATGCCATAATACATCCCTTAGCCTTTCGGGCAAGGGGGACTGGGGGCCAAGGGTCTGGTGTACTTTGTCAATAACAATCTCCGTATCTGGCGAACAATCTAAGTATCTGTTGAAAATGGTTGATAGTGTAGAGTGGAGTTCCACTACGGGTATTGACTATGGGATCACTCTAAGATTTTTTTGTCACCGACTACGGTTTTTTAAGTCATCAAGTAGTAATTGAAGCTGCGTGATTTGCTCTGAGAGATCAGTCTGGTACGACTGAAGGGTTTGGATAGATTGGGTCATGGTGCCACATTCTTTTTCCACAGCCCAAGAATCAAGTGCTGATACTTCTTGCTTACGTCCCTGCACTTCACCCCTCAGGGGTGTCTCTACTCTATTCGCTAAGGCTTCAAAATCAGCCCTTGTGGGCAATTGCTGGAGGAAGAACCATAATGTTTTTTCTGAAGCTTCCGAGGGTACCACTTCAAACATGGGAGACAGTAAGGTACTAACTGTGCCCTGTGGAGAGAGTACTGTGTCCATCCGGGCAGATGCAGATGCATGACTGATTAGATGTCACCAGGTTTGGCACACACACTGCTGGAGATCCACATAGAGCAGGACTGTGAGTGCAGATCTCCCTGTCAGGTGTTAGTGATTCTGGCAGACAGGGAAAAAGATCGCTCAACGGTGTGAGCGAAGGCATCTGATGGTTTTCCTCCTGTTGTGGATCCTGCTCCTCTATATTGTTGACTGCAGCTGTGGTGGGACTCACAGGGTGGGTCGGTGCCATCTTCGCAGGGTCATGCCAAGATGGTGTTCCATGGCAACTGAAGCAGCTGAAAGACTCCCCTCGGTGGTTAGATGGTATTGGGGTACTGGGGGGAGCTCGCAATGCAGGGTGTCTGCAATGGGTAAGGCTGTATGGGAGCCATGGGCCAGGAGCTCTGCCAATACATATCCTCACTCAGAGATGCCAAGACCACGACCCCACGTGGTCCTTTTTACTTCCTCAAGTGGTCCTCAAGACCACTTTTGATGTGGTCCTTTGACAAGCAATACCATCTGCAAAATTGGAAATGCCAAACTAAATGTATGCACTGTGAAGCAAAGCATTGAAGCAATATCTAGCCCCAGTGTAAATTTGGAGGCGGGCAGCAGAAATGTGAATACACCACCTGTTTTACCACCCTTCAGGAGCCAATGAGGATATAGCCTTAAATCTGACAATTAAATAATGTTTAAAGTGCAAATAAAGCACCTTGACACCCTGCTGTATGCAAATTCCAAATTTCAGAATAGCTATGGTCTATTCACAACACACCCCACAATGGAATGCAAGACTTCAGCAACTTATCAAAAGGTAGGTTTTGATTATTAGATGTGCTAAGGTTGGCCCACTAGGGCCATCCATCCCTAAAACGCAGAAGTCACATTCTGCAAAGCCCTCAAGTTTGGAGGCTACTGGGGCACTCTGCTGCAATGCATTCATAAACCCAAGAACAAAAAATGTTAGAAAATCTAATATATTTTAAATTAAATTATTTTAATGTAATATGTTTCAGCTTAAAGCGGTATTGAACCCAAAATAAAAAAAATAAATAAATTCTAGCAGCTTACCAATCATTAGATGTGAGGGGCAATTCAAATAACCAGCCTTGATATTGATCATGATCCAGCCAATCCCTTGGGAGATGTGCCTAGATTGTGGCTGGGCAGCTGATAAATGGTCTGAAACCATGGAGAGAGTGTCTTTCCCTAAGAAGGAGAGTTCTCAAACTAAGGGGCTGTTGCCCCTGAGGCAGCCTAAGGATTGGGTTGCTGTTCATCAAGGTTCCAGGAGCTGCAGAGCTGGGACCTAGAAGCAGTCTGGATCTGACTGCAAGCTTTTTTCAAAGGATCTGGTCTTGAGAAGGATTGTCTTCCCTCATTGACTGATCTCCGGAGGAAGCTGGAGGGAGGCAGCTATCCTGGGGAGTAAAGACCATAAAAGTGACTCTTGTGACTGTATACTGTTTTGAATATTGCACTGGATGCCAGCAGTTATACATTGGAACAAGGTAACCAGATGCCAAAGTGATTTGCACCTATGGTCTTCAGCTGTGAGGGAATAGACTGTTCAAACAAGGCGTTTGCCTAGGGCAGCAATTTTCAGGGGGGGCGGGGCAACCCCCCAGAAGAAGGGACACAAGTGACCAATGGGGACCTGGTCAGCTCCACCATTAGATCCAAGGAGGCTGTGAGCTACTGGTGGGTGCTGGGATGGCCGGCCGCTTCTTTCATTCCAGTAGTTAAGGTTTGTGCATGAATAGGGTGGGCGCGGCGGCGGGCGTTGGGGAATGTGTATTGGTCAATGGTTGTGGTGGCAGGTGGGGGCAGCGGGGGGATGGGTGGGGGATTGGGGGGGATTGAAGTAATAGGCTGTGGTGATGGGGGGAAGGGGGGGCCTGATTTTAGTGTTGCCTAGGGCAGCACATGAACTAAATACACCACTGAGCACTTTAACCTCCCGCCTGCCATATAGTAATATGACGGGCGCAAGGTGGTTCTCTCATTCTGGGAGGACGTCATATGACGTCCTCCCATTCTCACTGTGCATGCGCGGCTCAGGGAGCACACAGTGCGGTGATCGGCGGTGCGCTGTGTCCCTTGGACACAGCGGATCACAGATCACGGAAAGAGACGAAGATGTCGGCTCGGTCATGAGATCAGCTGTGTCCAATCACAGCTGATCACATGTAAACAGGGAAATGCCTGTTATCGGCATTTCTCTCCTCTTGAGCTGTCACGCTGACAGCTCGAGAGGAGAGGAGAGCCGGTAATCGGCTTTCCACGGAGGGGACATGTACACTGATCATCAGGGCACTGATGATCAGTGTGCTCTGATCATCAGTGTAGCCCCAGCAGTGCCACCTGTCAGTGTCCATCAGTGCCATATATCAGTGCTCATCAGTGCCTTGTGCCAGTGCCCATGAGTGCCACATCAGTGCCACATATCAGTGCCTACCAGTGCACATCAATGCCACATATCAGTGCCCATCTGAGCTGCCTTTCAGTGTCACCCATCAGTGCCAGTCAGTGCCACCTATCAATGCCAATCAGTGCCACCTATCAGTGCTTCCAATCAGTGCCACCTATCAGTGCCAGTCAGTGCCGCATATAAGTGCCAGTCAGTGCTGCCTATCAGTGTGCATCAGTGCCGCCTATCAGTGCCAGTCAGTACTGCCTATCAGTGCGCATCAGTGCCTCCTATCAGTGCCTGTCTGTGCCGCCTAACAGTGCCAGTCAGTGCCGCCTTACAGTGCCAGTCAGTGCTGCCTTACAGTGCCAGTCAGTGCCACCTATCAGTGCCATGTATCAGTGCTTCCTTTCAGTGCCCATCAGTGATGCCTGTCAATGCGCATCAGTGCCACCTACCAGTGCCTCCTCATCAGTGCCACCTATCAGTGTCCATCAGTGCAGCCTATCAGTGCCCATCAGTGCAGCCTCATTAGCGCACATCAATGAAGGAGAAAAAAAAATCACTTATTTACAAAATTTTATAACAAAAACTAAGAAAAAAACATTTTTTTTTCAAAATTTTCAGTGGTTTTTGTTTTTTTTAAGAAAAAAAAAAAGAAAAAACCCAGAGGTGATTAAATACCACAAAAATAAAGCTCTATCTGTCACAAAAAAATGATAAAAATGTCATAAGGGTACAGTGTTGCATGACCGCACAATTGTCATTCAAAGTGTGACAGAGCTGAAAGCTGGAAATTGGCCTGGGCAGGAAGGGGGTATAAGTGCCCGGTAGGCAAGTGGTTAAAGAACCAACAAAATGACAGTCACAGGTTAATATGGCAAGATGCTTTGAGAAATGCTGTCCAAATGTCACCTCTGGTTTTCAGGTTTTTTTAAGTAGGAAAAGTGAACACTGTGGATGCTTCAAAAAAGCATTTTTGGTGCATTCAGCGCATGTTTTTGAACTGTTGCAATTGAATTTAACAGAGGCAGCAGGCTGTGGCAAAGCCTAAAGAATTAAAGAGTCCTCATAAAACAGGTAACTTAATACTACTGTAGGGGGGCCATTGCTGTTTACCTTTTAAAAAACTGTTTCCCTTTTAAGACTGCATGTTGTCAGAAAGGGTTTGATTGGCTCGGCTCTCAGCAGTACTGGAGTGTTTGTGGGAGTTGCAGTTTCATCACAGAGGCAGACAATGTAACATTTTGCTGCACAGGACTACAGGGACCAGGATGCTTTGCAAGGAGGAGGGTTGGGGAGCCATATGTGCTTTTGCAGAGGACATGTGGGAGCTAGTCTGCAGCCCCTTCTGTTGAAGTACACTGACACTGTTTCCAGATTGGCAGTGGCTGCTAAGGACAACGGTTATGTGCAGCAGCTGAAGTCAGCAGCAGCTGTGATCATTGGTACCATTCACCCGCGGCGGCAGTTACTGACAGCAACGACTTATCCCAGAAGAGAAGTCAGAGTGTTGGAATTCACAGAGGAGGCGTGTGACCATCCCAGGTGAGGCACCTGACAACAGGAAACACTAGTTAGAGAGAAAGCCCCGTTCATCATCCCTTCAAGGAGTTAACCCTGGAGACTGTTCTTCTTGGATGTGTGGTGAGCAGCTGCTAACCAGTGACATGTCAGTCCTTAAGAGCACTCCACTGATTCACTAACACAGGCCTGTGCAACCCATAGACTCACACTGTGTTACAATCCTACAGCATACAAGTGAATTTGGGACTGAGCCTAAAGAGATGTCAGTTTAGCTGGGGACATATTACTGCTGTAGTTGCAGGGGGTTAATATTGAACTATACCAGTATATACGTATATACATTGATATTGTGTTTATTGATGTTATTGTGCCAATTCTAGAAGGTTTGTGTATTCAGTGCATGTAACTGCTATTTTCCAAGTTAATTTGCAGTCTATTTGCAGAGTTTTACCTGTCTTATTAAACCTGTTCTAAAACTTCCCACAAGGTGTACTGGTGTGCTGTGGATCCAATATATATGGTTCATCACTGAAGTTAGGACAGAATTGCCTGTTAATTCCAGCAGCTATTTCGGGGGTGAGCACTACACTACCACTCTGAAAACTCACAGCTTAGTAGAGTTTACAGTCAGATGCATTCAAGCAAACAGCATGCCTCTGGTGATCCTCTGTCCTAAAGACCCTCTCCAGAAAGAATATTATTCTTTAGGTATATCATCTGCGGCAGCATAGAATCAGCAATCTAAGAAAAAAAAAAACATGTTTTTGTGTGTGTTGTACGTCCCATTTGTAAGGACAGCAAAAATTGGCAATAAAGCTGAATTCAGAGATAAGAGAAGAACAGACTCTGTATACACACGCATGCAAACATGCACTCTGAAGGATTACAGACAATGGCCTGAGAATAAATGCAAGGTCACAAAGTTTTCATATCCTGGCATGAAGACTTATGACTTTTTCAAACATGAAATGCTGTTGAGTATTCCTCATTCCATTGCAGCACTAACAGGATGTTCTCTGCATGAGATCTACAGAAAAAATGGAAATATAAAAAAAAAAAAGATCGAAGAACCAACTGTTTTTAAACATTCACTAAGCACTTATTTCAAGTTTGAAGTTACATTGACGATTCATATTATTCTTCTTTCAAATGCTATTTTCTGAAGGTATCATATACTTAAAAAACATTCAACTTTATCATGCTGTGTGACTTCCGCAACTTACAGTATTGCAGTATTGATTTTTGTTGCTTTTGCTTGCTTACAATCTCTCATTTTTTAAGGGAATCTATAGTGTTTGTAACATATACAACTTTCCTCCATCATACTTCAGGCCCCCTAAATCTATCTATACATATTTTGTGACCTTCACTTATAAAGTGAGTATCAGTTCTGATCTGGAAGCTTTTTAAACAAGTCATTAAGCCCAAGGCTGTCTATCCAGCACACACATTACCAGTGCAATAAAGTGTTAGTTCACCTTTACCTAAAAACTGCCTGTGCAGGTAAAGGGTGCCTTTAGATAAAAACATTATCTATCTTCCAGAGCCTGGCCAAAATACTTCCAGAGATGGCATCATCCCATCCTGCCGCGATGCTAGGATGTTGCTAAGATACTCCCAGCCAATTCAAACCTCCTTGCATGTGCCCTCTCTCGTTGCAGTAGCGCTGCGTTTAGTGATGCTGCGATGGAAGAGGTAGTGGACCACACATGTGTAGGGCTGGCACCCGCTGGTATATGGAGGGGCTGTTGGGCCTGTGATCTTTTTCTTTGGCTATTGTGGGGAAGAAGCTCTTGTCTCCATCAACATGGAGACAAGGTGCTTTGGGGAGGAGCCCTCCCCTAAAGCACCCCCCCCCATGTTGAAGGCATGTGGCGTGGAATGATTTAGGAAGAAGGGGCGCTCACTCATCCCCCCCCCCTTTCCTGGTCCTTTGGGTTGCATGCTCAGTTAAGGGTCTGGTATGAATTTGGAGACCCCACACCATTTTTTTTGTACATTTTGGCATGGGGTTCACCTTACAATCCATACCAGACCCAAGGATAAATTTTGAGGGGACCCCAGGTCGTTTTTTACTTTATTTTTGCATGGGGTTCCCCTTAAAATCCATACCAGACCCGAAGAGACACCCACACGGGTTTTTTTGTTTTTTTATTTTGTTTCGTTCACATTCTTCTGACAGTGAGGAATCACGCTGACAGTAGATTGATGGTTGTTAAGGATGTGGCTGTTGGCTTCTCATTGCATTCAAATTTTGTTTATTTGTTCAGATTCGTTACTATGCTTATTTAGAAATTTAGATACATTCTAATCTCCGGAGATGGAATTCTCACCCAAAACCTTTTCTGAACAAATCGAACCGCACATGTCTAGTAATGTTGTCACTGCATGTGGGGTCCATGATGGGTCCATGATTTTGTCAAAAAAAAGTAAGATTGTTGATAGGTGATGTTTGAATGGGTAGTTTAACTTTAAAGAATTAGTTCACCTTTTAAAAAAGATAATAAATGCACATGTTTTGCAAGATTATATGGTGTTCATAAATGAACAATTACTAAGGTATATTCCAGGTTAACAATGGTTTAAAATGACTGGTGTGCACCCACTGAGCTGGTTCTGAAATGGCTGGTGGTTGGTATGGGTTTTGGATTTCATGTATGTTTTGACAAATTGCTGTGTAACTTATGTTTTTGTTATTATCTTGTTATTTTATAAAAGCTGTCACCATAACACTCCAACAACAATAATTTGTATCACATTGTATTATTTATGATGTTTAATGTGTTTGGTTTTGATATTCAATATCACTGTACCTTCTCAGCTCTACCTGGGTCATGAGCCTAGGAAGAAACCTCACCTGAAAGAATTACTAAAATAATCTTTTAAAACACAAGAGGTGCAGCTCTCTAAATTGAATTGTGTATTATTGTCCTCTACTTTATTACCTTCTATATTGGGATCTCTTCTGATAAACTCTGCTTCTTCTCTGATGTGTATGATACATTAACACATGGCACCCTGAACTCACCTTTGACTTACAAAGCCATAACTTAAGAAGAGCATTGGGGAAAAAACATTGGAAAAAACATATGGCTTGCTGCTGTGATGTAAATGACCCTTGTGACATTGTTGCTTTACCAGGGCGCAAGTGATATAATTGAAAAATATTTTATCTGATTTCCTACAGGAGCCTTACGTTTTCTTGTTTATTTTTTCAGATACAACACAATTTCAAAAGCAAAAATGTGACAAAGTAATAATAAGATGTAAAGTAAAAAATATTTACCTGTACCGGCTTTTTGATTTTACATTAAAAAAAGCAATGTTCTATTAAAATTTTAGGCTTATAACATGAAAATGGAACTTGTCTCAAGCACTGTCTACTTTCTCTCCATTAAATGATAAGTTCACCTTTTTAAAAAAAATAATAAATGCACAAATTTTTTGCAGGTAAAAAAATTTGCATTTATTTTTTTACTTGGAACCTGTAAAGCATTGCACCCGCAAACAGCAGATCGCTGGTGTCATGCAGGACTCCTGCAGACTTGGCAGTGTATCTGTCTGCTCATACCTCATAGGTGTAGGCAGATACACATTGACAGGAAGGAAGAGTAAACTACCACAGCGCCATGGTAGTCCATTGAGAACTACAAGCCTACTGCCGCAAAGATAGTTTTCCAATTCACAGTACACTATGAATGGATCCCGTGCTTGCTGTCAAATCAGGGACTCAGGTGGGTGCAAGGGCCGGTGCAATTGCAACATGTTACACCCTTACTATGGATGTAACATGTAACATGTTACAAAGGTGAACGTATCCTTTAAGACATCAGCAAATAATGATATACAATGTAATTCCACCAACGTCCTCTCCCCTTATTTACATTG